TAGGTAAGAGAATGAATTAAAATCTCTTAGATCTTCAAAAGATATTTCCAAAAAAGATAATGTATGATTTTATTACCAAAATCATTTAGAGACGTAATCTCTTTAGTTTTAGGAAATAAAATCATTTTTGATTCTTAAAGCATATTTTCGAAAACAGAAATTTTTGATGAAAAAATTTATTTTGAAGAATCTAATTTCCGACAAATATTTTTGATGAGAGAAAAAAATTAATTTATGTGCTTATAGATGAATTTTCTCTCTATCCTACAATGTATCCTAGATACCTAACCACTAGGGTTTTCTTCACACACATTATGGATTTTGTAGGACTTTGTTTATGGACTTGGCTATTGAGTTCTTTTTAGCTTTGTTTAAGGAAGATCAGCTTGTCTTTCCTTCTCGTAATAGTCCAAATTGGTTCCCACAACTTAGTGAGTCTATGATTGAGGAGATAGGGGGGATTTTACAGATGAGGAGGTGAAGGTAGCTTTATTTCAAATGGGTGCTAATAAGGCCCTTGGTATTGATAGTTTCAATGCGTTCTTTTTTCAGAAAAATTGGTCTATCCTAGGGTGTGATATTTGCGATTTCATTAAACGTTTATCTAAAGAGGAGGCTTCCTTTGAGACTCTCAATCGCACTTTGTTGGTTCTCATCTCCAAAATTGATACCCCAACAGAGTTCAAGCATTTCAGACACATTAACTTGTGTAACACAGTATATAAAATCCTCACTAAGGTGATTGCTAACAGGTCAAAACCTTGCATGAGTATTCTTGGGAGCGATGCTCAATCCAATTTTGTTTCTGGCTAGCAAATATCGGATAGTGTTATTTTGAACCTTATATGAGTTTGGACCCAGTAGACACTATATTGCAGTGTTGTTAAATTTGGTCCCGGCTAAAATATCATGTGAATGAGTTATTGGTTTAACCAATTGGTCAATAGTTCAATTAGCGTGCCATAAAATATTAATAAAATATATCAATTAAATAATTATAATATAATAAAAATAATTAAAAAATATAAAAAAATCGGTCTAAGTCAATAAGGTTTGTGTGGATCGACCACTTCAATCACGGATCAACCAGTTCAATTTGGTTTTCGTCCTTAAATAGTTCAAAAATAAAATCAAACCGGTTTTAAAGTTGATTTACTGATTTTTTGAATTGACTAACCGGATCGAACTGAGTTCAATAAGTACGCTATATTGAATCTTTTAGAATTTTGTTTTTGTTAAATTTGGTTAATTGCCTCTCTTCTCTTTTAACCCCTTGACTTTTGGTTAAAAGTTTACTCCCCTTAGTTTTATATTCTAGCTTCATCCTATAAGATAGTTCATATGATGGCGCCACATCAAAATTCAGAATCCAAAATAATTCTTTTAAAATAAATTTTGGAAAATAAAACAAAACGATGGAAAATTTCTTTATGTTTTCACTTTTTTGTACTCTTCATCATTTGAAATTCGATTATTTTTCTTGTTTCATTTCTTAATATATTTTACTTCATTCGTTCTTTTTATATAGATAGATTTTTCTTTTTTGATGTTCTTTTTATATAGATAAACTTTCCTTTTTTAGTAACATCGGAAAAAAGCCAATGTGAAAACCTCATATTACTTTTGTCTTATTATTTATGAAAGTTTTATTACGAGAGATTATCAAGGTAATGTCAGACAAAAGTGCATATAAGCATTAAATGTGAAAGAAATTTGATAATATAGTTGTTATTCTTTAAATTTAAGTTAGAAAAATAAATATGGTCCAATTAAGAAAATTATGCTCTGATTGAGATGGAATTTGAGTTTTAAAATTATACAAAATTTAGAAATGAAGCATAATTAAGAGTTATGATTCTATACTATGGGCCATTTTTTGTGAAGCTACTCTATATTTAAATTCTTTGACAGTTGCTCAAGTATGTTGGAAGATTATTTGAGCACGAAATACTCATTTTTTTTAATACAACTTATACAAAGAGAGATCAATAATAAGTTTCCTCAAATCCTATATCATAACTATTTTTTTTTTTTTTTGTACTCAGTTTGATTTTGGATCCAATTTATTATCTATGCGCACATTTTATAGGACATACTATTGAACTTGTCCAAATTTGTGAGCAGTCTAGTTTATAAATTGGGTCTAATTTTTTAAGAAAGCCAATGTATTTACTAAAATTTCAACTAAGGATGCAGAATTGAATTTCAAATATTTGAATTTTTATTGCTTAATCAAATCTCTTAATATACCATTTTTTTTTTAGAAAGACAATGCATTTATTTCGTTATTCAAACAAGAAATATTATTAAAGACAATTTTACATTTAGGAGGAGTTAAAATGATACTAAGGGTATATTAAGAAAAAATAAAAAAATAGTTAATTACACTGATTTCTTTATGATAGTGAAAATGTAATTGTGCATATATAAAAGGAACGGAGTAGGATTTTCCTGTGATGTATATTCACATCAAGTGATTTTGTCCAATTACAAAATAATAGTTGCAAATAGATAATATTTTATAATATTTACTAATAATTTGTAAGAATTTTTTGTTTTTTAAAAAGTTTATGAACTACCGAATAATAGCTCCAGCTGTAATACTTCGTAATACTTTATAATAATTTTTAAAAGATAGTTTTTTTTTTTGGAAAATTTAATGGTTTATAAATGTCACGACCCATTTTCATGGACCGAACCGGTACTAGGACCTGGGTGGGCTTAAGGCCCCCGAAGCCCGTAGTAAGCTTGTATTACTTAAAACTCGCATTCCATTCACAATTGTGGATTCAGGCCCAATAATTTTTGTCTTTTTAAAAAGTTTTATGGAACTAGCCGAATAATAGCTCCAGCTGTATACTTCGTTAATACTATATCAATAATTTTTAAAAGAAGTTTTTTTCTTTTGGGAAACACTTAATGGTTTATAAAATGTCCACGTACCCCATTTTCATGGACCAACCCGGTACCTAGGACCTGGGTGGGCTTACAGGCCCGCCGAAGCCAGACGTAGCTAAGCTTGTATTACTTTAAAACTCGCCCATTCCATTCACAATTGTCGGATTTCAGCCCAATCACTTATTTCACAAATATATTTTAACAGTACAATCCATTATAGTACAATGTTCTTAAACTCTATTCTATTCATTTACAAACCCCAGTTGGTAATTACACATTGCGGGAACTCTACTCGCAATCAATTCACGTATCTTCTCGCAATTTACATTATTCAATACCCACATGATTACTTTGCTCATCCATCAAATTCCGTAGTCTCGTCTTGTTCGATTGGACTCCCGAGGATTCCTTCTTTTCCATCTTATTATCTAGGGGAGGTTGGAGCGGGGGCGTGAGTACACGACTCAAATGAGTTAGCGATTAGACGATAACCCTCTCCATCTCCACACCAATCATACAAATGCTCAAAAAAAATATTTGGTCATTCGTTTTAATAATGATCATGCCAGTTTATCACACAAAAATGACCAGATTACACATGAGCAACTACAATTACTCTTATCACGCTTCCCATGTAATGCATATCCAGCCTACGTGGAAATTAGTCATGTTCGGACCGTCACCGAAACACGATATTTAGCCGTCCTCAAATCACATGGCTCATCCACCACATGTCAGACACCAGCATGGAAGCCCAACATCCCCATTTCTGGCTGGCCTGGTTGATAATGACTCACCACGACCGGTCCTTCTCATTATTTTGCAATCTCTCTCTTTATCTTTTTCTTTCTCTATTTTATACTTCAGTATATATATTTATATATCTACACCAACCAGAGCGCAAACCCACGGTAAGGCGTCTCGATCAAATACACTGAATCCTTTAGGCGCCTCAAAACAGGAAGGCCACCCGCTACCGAGGTTCGATCAGATCTTAAATTATCAGGTGCGCCCCAAATCACAAGAAGCCAAACCTCGTGGCTTAACTGGTAACTAGAACTCCTATGCGAGGCTAAACAGTAGCGTAGCACCTATGGAGGCACCAGATCTCCCATCTTACCCGTGCTACGATCATCAATCAGGATCCAGCGCTCCTATAACGGTAACCACGGGTCGTCACAAATCCATGGTGACCCGCACTTCGCAAATGCCCAACTCCGCTTCCCACGTAATACACACGGCACAACAATGATCAACAGCAACAAGTAATCAAGCAATATTTCAATATCAACAAATAGTCATTCATAATATGGCGATAATGCCCATTGATAACATTTAGCCGTTGATATGTCCATGAATGCAGCGCGGATTGAGGCGCGAATTATCTAACATTACTCACATTTTTTGTTGTCCTTAAAGAGGCACTGGCCTGTTCTTATTGTGCGCTTCCAACCTTTGTCTTCACATTTCCGACCCACTTTATTAAAATACTCTATTATTATAAGAAGATTCTAAATCAAGAATTCTCAATTGGGAAAATGCAGTTTAATTTTCATTTACTTCTTTTCCGTTCTATTCCGTCGTGTTTATTAACTTATCAAACAAACTTTGATATCTACTAGTGTATCTTATTTGATTTATTCTTCTAATTTATCTCTTTTAATATAAAACGTTCTAAGTTTACTTCAGTTAAGTATATTTATGATAATTCCACAAATTTACTTAATATTACTAATAAGTAATAATAATCTTATTCACTAATTGATAATACTATTGATCATATATCCCTATTTTTTTTTTTCATAACTATATGTTAGAATATATAATTTATTCAACCTATATATCAAATTCATTATTCTTGTATTTAGTTATTTGTTTTATATCAAATTTAAATGTAATTAATCTTACTTAACGAATTATCGTATTCAATTGATTGCATACTTAGAATTTAAGCATTTCTATCTGTTTGGGAAAACCACCTTTATGATCCATAAACTACCTCAGATCAGTCCCAAATTTTATAACTCGACTGCATTCACTTATTACCTTCAATTAATTTCTGGTATCTACAATTCGATAAACTCTCCAATTTAGACCCAATTTTGACTAATTCAATTAATCTTATACTCAACTAATTAATAAATCCAAGTTTTGAAAGTTATACTGAAAACGAGCAACTAGGCCTTACAATGTACCAATCAAAAATCGAATTTGATTTTCGTGATCCGCGTGAAGAGGAGATTATTCTGCCTCTCGGAGTCTCGCTGGAGACTCGCCGGACCGCCGCCGTCGCCGCCGTGCACGGTGGCAGGAAAAATCATCCTTGCCCAGAAATTTGCAACGATCACACCATTCAACTCAATTTTTCGTCAGGAGTCCGATTTTGGCATCAGTTGCTCGTGATCAGTCCTCCATCCGGCAGAATCGAGCCCGACAGTAGCTTGTGCCACCATTCGTGGTGGATTTCACCATTTTTCATCAGACGCTTGATTCAACGGCGGAAAGAGGTTCACACGAAGGAGATGAGACGATCGACGCTGCTTCTTCAAGTTGCAGCCACCGCAAACGGCGTGGGTTGCCGGTATCGCGCGACAGTCAGCTCCAGTCGCGATCTTCATCGATTCTGGCCTCCCTTCTGCAAAACGACACCACCAACGAACTCCTCTCGTCAAGAGGATGAAGAAAGAAGGTCCAATTGCTGGAAACCGTGACCGGTGGCCGGAGATCGTAGAGAGCAAAGGGAGAGGGTGTTGTCGCGCGAGGAAGAATAAGGAGAGGAAGGAAGGAAAGAAAAGAAAGAAAAAGAAAAGAATGAAAGGAAAGTGGGCTGGGCCACTTCGGTTCGATTCGAACCGGTTTGGTCCGATTTAGCGGTTTGGCCTTATTTTCTTTTTTTTTTTGAGTTTTTCGCTCGGTTTTCCGATCATTCGTGTGGTTTTCTACAAATTAAATTAATTTTTGAGTCCGGTTCAATTTATGTTGATTGTTTAATTCGGTTTCGTAAGATTTTTCCCATTTACTCAATATTAATACAAATAGTAACAGTAATGATATTTGATTTTAGTTTATATACCAATTACATACATAAACATATATTTAAAATCAATTAATAATTTGTATCCCATTTTACTTCATCAAAATTTTAAGCACTAATTTGTATCCCATTTTACTTCAATCAAAATTTCTAAGCGTTGTCCAATCGAAAATTCTGAAATAAAATCCATTTTTGGCTTGGGCTCGAATTCAAATTTTGGGCTCAAGTTAGAATTGCTCGGTCTTAACAACGCATAGCTATGCAAAAATTTGAAAATTGTTGATCTTAATAAATTTCTAAGTTTTTGAAAAATAAAAATTCCGGGAATATTTCAATAAAATATAGGTTTAATTAATCAGATAATTTGTAAATATTTTCAAACTTTATAAAAGTTAATTCTTTTTTTTTTTTATAAAAGTTTATTGATTTAATAAAATAATAGTTTCAGATAATAATCTGCAAATAAAAAAACGACAAATAGTAAAATACTAATCCTTGATAGGTACGGGATACCACTAAGTTAATTGGTCTCTGTGAAACCGACTATCCCATTACCAGCCACTGGTAGTGCTAAAGGGTCTGTTTGGTAATGAAGTAGTTGTTGTAGTAGATGTTAAGTTTGTTAGTTATTAAGGTTATTAAGCGGTTTATCATAGTGAATTTAAAGGAAAATTGTTTGGTAAAAATAGAATATTCCTGATTTAGCTTGTTATAATAAAATAATAAAAAAATGAACATTAGAATGTTGATTTTAAAATTTAAAATTATAGATATAGAAGCTGGAAATGGACTAATTAATAAAAAAGAAAAATAAATGATATATATAAATAGTGTTTTTCTTTCCTTTTTAAATTCATTATCATATTTTTTATATTAAAGTTTTTGCTTTTTTCTATAGCCAAATATTATTTCTTTAAAATTAAAATGAAAAAAATGAACGAAAAAATCTTTTTTCTAATTGTTTTTTTAATTTTGACAACACGCTCTTTTATCCTTTGTTTTAAAGACAATAGATAATTAAAATAGATCAATAATTAAAATGACCATATTATATTTCTTTGAAAGATTTGAGAAAAGAAAAAATTAAATAAATAACAAAGAATTACCAATTCAACAAGGAATATATAATAGCAAGTAGAAATTACCTAAATTTTTAAGCCTTAAGAAGGAAAAAAGAAAAAGGAATAACATGTCGAAAAAAAAAAAGAAAAAAAAATCCAAAACGCTAAAACGTTAAGAGATTTAAACGTTTGATTAAATTGCTTTCTAACCTCTAACAATGGTTAACAAAATATTAAGTTCTCAAACAATTAATTGATAGACATAGTGTGTTTTGACTCTGGTCAAAACAAGCCAAAAAGGCTATCTCCAAACGTTGTTGCCAAAACAGGCTCTAAATGGATTTAAATAATAAGGCCCTTTTTATTGAGAGGAGTGTGACACCAACGACAGGCTCGATCACCTGAAGATTCAAAACGGTGGGATACCCACATTTCGTAGCTAAACAAATCAAATCTAAAACAATAAGATGTGAAATACATTATTTTTTTTTTTCCACATTTCAATCAACAGCCACCTTCAACAATCATGAAATTATTACATAACTCAATCCAATAGAAAAAGTAAGGAAATCAAAAAAGCATCACCCACCGTAAGTGTGGTTGGCCAAATATCAAGAGGAAGGTGAACAAAAAGAGATTTCTTATAAAATCAAGCATATTCACCACGGTAAGACATTCAATACACTCCAAAAACACGATCAAATATCCAGTACACAAATTAACAGTTAGCCCAAAAATCAATTCAAAAAACCGCCAAATTTACTTCATACAACTCTTAAAAAAAAAAGTCAAATTTAAAGGGAAATTGAAAGAGGATGTAGAATTATTGAGCACTTAACCTTAAATAACGCCATCTTAGCAAAAGCTTAAATTTCCCACAAGCTTCAAACGCTAAGCTCTTTCCCTCTTTAAGTTTAACAAGATTACTTATAAACTTTACTTGTTTTAGTAGTAGTACAATAACTTATAACATGATTTATCTCTAATATCCAATATGTCCGCGAAGCCAATTTAAGCACTCCGGAAAGTTTTAACATGCCTCAAATCTAAACAATTATGATAAAATTCCTCATATTCATCATATTATGTTCTAAATCTCATATAGCATCATCATAAAAAGTCATAGAGCCTTATAAATAATAATTAAGATTTTTATTAACACTTATTTACATAGACGAGAATCATGCTTAAGGATTACACGGAGACTCTCAAAAACACCTCAAAAATGAGCCCTTGAAAAAGTCATTGATAATTTCCTAGATAGATATGAACGATTCATAATTATATATGCATATCACATAATTCACATCACGAAGTCCAATAATCATAAATATATAATAAACAAATCTATATTCAAACTAATCAAAGTTACATTTTAAGGCTTATATCCAAAAACTCTAAATTTTCATGAAAAAGACACATTATTCTGGAGCATTGCGTCCCTTTTTTTCAAAATCAAGAAAGTGTTAAAAAAATATCACTTTACAAATAAAGTTCAAACTCTTTCAAGTGGGTGAAGTCTTAGTAACTGCCAATCTCGAGCATTTAAGCAACAACCTCAATTCATAAATAGTTCCTTTCAAAAGTATTTTAAATAGATGTTAATAAGGGAGTAAAAAGGTATCACAAGGAAGTTACAACTTTATTGCTTTGGATAGAACAATGGGTTGTTTACAATGAGTAACAAGTAAATTGTACAATGGGATTTCATTTGACCTGTCACTTGTAGAAGGATATTTAAACAAGGAGTTTGGAATGTGTTTATGCATAGTAAAAGTTTTTAAAAGGAGCTCAGTTACCTAATAGCCTTTCAAAATTCTGTTAGGATAACTCGTCGCATTGCTTTCAATCCATGTCTATTTTTATCTCTTTCTATGTAAAGTATGAAAAATAGATATAATAAAATAAAAAAATTCTATCAATAGAAATAATATATATAATTTTTCAAATAATATAATAAGATAACAACAATGTGCTTTTAATAGAAAATAATTCTTCCTTATATTGTTATCAAGTTTATTTAATTATGAAAAATTTTGTGAATCTTTAATTAGGTTGCAGATAAATGGGACGTTAAAGAGCCCTAGAAGGGAAAGCAAAGGTGATGGGTTACAATACTAGGAATTAGGTGGGAGCTCACTCGCTGCTACTAACATATTTTCAAAGGCAGAAATTCACTTATGGTCGACACAATAATCAATCTGAAATGAAAAGCTTGTTAGGCCTCAATGGAGGACACGTGCAGCACAGATAGCACTAAGAGTAATTAGGCAGTATATTGGTATAAGTCAATTGGCCTCTTAATTTTCCATCTGTTTAATAATTCAGGGAAAAATGAAGTGCAAAAATTTCCATGCCCTTACTCAAGCACTGCAATTGATGGTTTTTCGATGGCTGAATTCAAGAAAAGTTGCCTTTTACCTTTTGCGTTGAGAGAGAATTGGAGACAATGGGGAAAATTGGGCTTGGAAATATAAGGCTCTTCTCTGCCGCCTGTTTTCGGTAACGTCTTTGCATATTTTATACAGAAAAATTCGTAGTTCGATTTTTTGAATGTTTCTAAAATAAAGGGTCACCCAATTTTTTTTTTTTTAAAAAAATAAAAGCTCGTGACCACTCAGAAAAACATATTGTAATTCTAGAAAATTAATTTTTTGCAACACACCGTTTTTGTTTTTCTTTTTCAATGAAACTTATTTTTATAAAGGTCAACATGCAGGTTCTATATTACAGGTGGAATAACTTTAAGAGTTGATATCTGAAAAATAAAGGTGAAAAATGTAAAACATTTAGGGTGAGCTTACTTACAGAAAATAGTTTTTTTATTTTTTCATTTTCTATTTTTCTAAGAAAACGGTTTTCTTAGAAAATGAAAAAGCTATAAAATAGAAAAATAGAAAATGCATTCAACTTAGTAAAACAAGTAAAAAATAATCAATATTTTAAGTTAAAAAACTTCACAAATATTATTATTAAAACCTTCATAAATTAAAAAAAATAAAAATAAGCTTTAAAAAATAAATTTAGAAATTTCTTATTTAAAAAATCTTAAAAATTTTTATTAATTGATGTATTTATAATAACAACATCAATTTTTATGCATTTTGTAGTTTTTATAAAAAAAAATAAAGGTATAATATAGTTATGTTAATAATGAAATTAATTAATATATTAAAGCATAATATAAATTTTTATGTTTATTGTAAAAATTTTTATTTTTCAATGAAATAATTTTTATATTGAAAAAAATTGTTATATATTATAATTTTTAAATTAATGAACAATACATTTGTTTAAATAAAAATATGTTTTTTTTTTTGGGTTATAGAAGGAAAACTCTGGAAAATAACATTGAAATTGTATTTTCCAAAAGCAGTTTAGTTTAATTGTTTAGAAAATTGAAAAACTCATAATAGAAAACTGACCGGCAAAAAACTCTATTTTGTCTGACAAGTAAACACAATCTTAAAGAGTTTATGTCTTTACATGTCTCCTGTTAGGTCCTAATATAGATATATAAGAAGAGTTCTTAATTGAGTTTTGATTGCTCTTAAAAATAAAAGGAAACTAGAGTG